GAGGCCATGGAGGGGTGCTGCTTCCTGTCTTGCTCAGCTTGCTTTCTTAGAGAACTCAGGACCACCAGGCCAGGGGTGGCACCATCCACAATGAGCTGGGTCCTCCCCCATCATCACTAATTAAGAAAAATGCCTTACAGCCAGCTCGCATGGAGGTGCTTTCCTAGTGAGGCTCCCTCCTCTCCTATGACTGTAGCTTGTATCAAGTTGATATAAAACCAGCCAGCACATTATCTTAAGAAATGGAAACCCAGCATCACGAGGTGCTTTCCCCAAGCATTTGCCTAGCTCCCCGTAATTTGTCCTGCCTCTGTCAATGCGCCTGACTCTTCCGGTCTTCGCGACTTCTCGCCTGCCCTCTTTTAGTCCTTTAATCCATTCCCTCACTCATCCTTGCTTCAAGATGGGCTCAGGCCTGCCACCTGGGCTCCAGGGAAGGCAGGGATCATTTCCAGAACATGTCCCTCTGACCAGGAGGGTGAGTCAGGAGTGTGAGACTGACTTGTGGGGATCAGAGAAGACAGTTTCAGGGTAGCAAGGTCCTCTTCCCTTGTCCCCCACCCACCATCACTGCTGGCTGTGGCTCAGAGCAGAGCTGGGGGCATTTACATGTGGCGACAGAGGGTCTCTCTCTCTCTCTCTCTCTCTCTCTCTCTCTCTCTCTCTCTCTCTCTCGTAGACAGTGAGGGGCAGCATCTCTTCCTCCTCCTCTGGGGGCTGGGGTGGGAATTTCATTTTGAGACAGGTTTTTACTATGGAGTTCTGGCTGGCCTGGAGCTAGCTGCATAGACCAGGTTAGCCTTCAGTGGCTATAGAGATCCGCCTGTCTCTGCCTCCCGAGTGCTGGGATTGAATCTGCATCTGGGGCTGCATCGTGCCGGTTTCTTACCTACTGTTTCTAGTTCCTTTCCTCCTCTCTCCTCCTGCCAATCTTCTCGTCTAAACAAGGAGGACAGAGTGGACCTGGCTTAAGTCTTGTAATCCCATATGTTCCTTTGGTTTGTGGTGGAGCGCCTGCTACCCAGAGGACTCCGTGGGTGGCCACCCTGACCCTTGTTGTCTCCACTGCCATTTCCCTAGTCTCTAGGTACAAGGCATCGGGTAATTGCTCAAGTTCACAGGAACTGTGAGGAGAGGTCAAAACAATGTAAAAGGGTAAGAGTGGAAACATGACTGACTTTGACGCTAACCACATCTCAGGGCGCACCTCTTATGAGACATTATTCCCATGGCGAGGAAATTGAGGCCCACCAAGAACTGGCAGCTGGCCTGGGGACCAGTAGATGTATGATATCCTATAGCTCTCTGGGCCACAGCTGCACATTCTGTTGCCCGTTTTTACCCAAGGAGCATCTTTAAGATTGAGTTATACTTTACCTGGAGTGGGCTTTTCTTCACTGTCGAGATGCTCTGTCCTGGAGGTGACTCATATTTTAATTTCAGAAATTCTGTGTCATGAATTCTGCATGAACATCTCATAATCATGCAAAGATAAAAGAAGGCTGCCTGAGGCTAGGGGTTCCCACCAAAACCTTTGAAGGCTCGTGGTGTTAGATTCCCGAGTGACGTCACTATATCCCCTCCGTTCCCACTACCATTGTCCCGCACATCCCTGTCACTTTTGTCATAGACTTCCATCAGGCCCTCCACCGTGGAAACAACCTCAGTACTGTGAATCATCACGAAACTTTTGCTTGTGTTCACTCTAAAAGCCCTTAGCAGCTTTCCTCGCTACAGGAAAGGCCTGGACGTTCGCAATTAAAACCTCCCCATTAGTGGCTTTTTCTAAACATGTCCCTTTCTTCCTCAACTGGCTTATTGCCGCACAAACATGTCCAGACTCTTCCAACTTCCTTACATTCACACCTGCCTTCTTCCAGCCGCCATGTCTCCTTCTTTACCCCTCGGGAGGATCCCCCTTGCTTCAAGGGTTCAGGACGCAGTCTGGTCACCTTGCGTTTGCTTGGCTTCCATTCGCCCAGGCAGTAACACTTGGTGATTTCTTTGGCTTCTTCATCCACGTATGGCTCTTCTGGACTCCTATCTCTGTCGGCCTGTGGTTTGCTTCCACCTACAGATGTGACAGTAACATCATCACGCTATTCCCCCATAGAACGGATGCTAAGCGTTCTATGGTTCGGTCTACTTCAAAATTTCATAAAGTTTGACGTTAAAATTTTTTTTTTTCCAGTGAAGATTTAGGGCCTTTGAGATCACAGAAAAAGAGGAGGTGGAAGATTTTCTTTTTTAAAGGTATTTTCCCTGTGCATCTTATGTAACTTTTGATTATTCCTAATGTTTAAAAAAATTAGTTCCTCTGAACCCTTTTAAAAAGATTCAAACACTGAAATGATTCACTAGCTATAAAACCTCCCATGAGTCTTCTAAAAGGGAAGAGAGGGAGGAAGAGAGAAGAAGAAAGGGAGAGAGGAGAGAAGGAACAGAAAAAACTAGCTGTGAGTAAAATTTTCAATATTCTGAAAGAACTGTGAACCGGGAGCAAGGAAAGTTCTAGAGAACAGTTCTGTAATTGAGTTTCCTGGGACAGCAGTGAAGCATTTGCTGCCCTTAGCTCAGCCTCACTCTCTTTCCGAGGTGCTTATTGGGCAGGAGCTGGGGCTCCAGCCAGGGGCCTCCTTGAGCACTACCATTCCCATCCTCTAGGGAGGACTTTGGGTTTAATCTGTTGTTGGGGGATTTTACTCTTTTGTGGGTCCTGCCACCCAGCTCCTAAATAAACCACTCACAGAGACTTATTCTTAATTATGGCTGCCTGGTCTTAGCTTGGTTTGTTGCTAGTCAACTTTTCTTAACTTATCCCATCTACCTTTTGCCTCTGGGCTTTTCCTGTTCTCTTACTTCTGTAATCTTACTCTTATTCCGTGGCTGGCTGTGAAGCTGGCTGGCCCCTGGAGTCCTCCTCCTTCTCTGGCTACTTCTCCCTCCTCCCAGATTTCTCCTTCTGTATATTCTCTCTGCCTGCCAGCCCTGCCTATCCTTTCTCCTGCCTTGCTATTGGCCGTCCAGCTCTGTATTAGACCATCAGGTGTTTTAGACAGGCACAGTAACACAGCTTCACAGAATTAAACACATGCAACATAAACAAAAGTAACATACCTTAGAATAATATTCTACAACATTAATCCTTTGTGGGTATCACTTGAGGAGAAGGGTGGGGGTCCTCTACAGGACTTGGTATTCCAGGTAGGCCCCAGTCACTTGCCACACATTAGGCACTCAATCTGCTTCATGATTTTATCAAGAGTCTTGAAGCTGGGAGGTTTCCTGGCTGCCTAGTTTCTCGAGGGCTCTATCGATTATATCTGCTTCTGCTCTTCACGTCTACTCCTTCGAGCATATTGCTGTTTGATTGCTATGCGGTTAGTGACCTCCAGTGCCGTAGTTTGACACAGCCTCTGGATTTTTTCTGACGCAGATCAGGAGCACAGGTAGGCTATGTCCTCTGCTGAGGGTCTCACCGAGAGAAATCAGGTTTTGGTCTCAACTACAGTTTCCTCTGAGGTATAGGTTGTCCTCCAAGCTCTTTGCTTCTTATCAGAATTTAATTCCAACTATGAGAGGCAACCTGCCATTTCTGGGGCACAGTCTTCTGCACAAGTTCCTTCCTTAAGGCATCCCTGCCGATGCTTGTCCCTGTGGACTTCCGAGAAGACCACTTGCTGTTAAAATGCTTTTGTGACTAGGTCAGGGTCACCCAGGAAAAACCTTTCATTGATTGTCTCCAAGTCGGCTGATTAGGGGCCTTGACTACATCCACAAAAATCTCTTTTACATACGTGGCAAGACAGGGCATGGAATTGCATCGTATTCAAACTTCTTGCTCATCATCAAAAGGGTAGGGGATTGGTTATCCAGATGTGTGTGCCAGGGAGCGGAATCTTGAATATCTTAGGACTCTTCCTGACACACCTCTACCTGCTTATGGCCCTAAGTCTGTAGAGCTTAATTTTCTGTGTAATGTTTTGAAAACACGGGTTCTAGATCACTCTGTTCTCGATGTGGTCTCTTCCTTTTTATTCCTGCCTCCCTGGCATTCCTAGTAAACCAATGCAAATATGTCTTACTCTGTGGCCCTCCAACTCCTCAGTTCCTCCCTCAAGAAGAAGCAGGAGTGGTTTCAGTCTGTTTGCTATAACAAAGTACCCGAGACTGGGTAATGACGTTAAAAATATTATTTCTCTCTGTGTGTTTTGCTTGTATGCATGCCAGTACACTACATGCATGCAATGTCCTTGGAGGCTAGAAGAGAACATCCGATTCCCTAGGACTGGACTTTCCCGTGGTTATGAGCTACCCTCTAGGCACTAGGAATTGAACCCAGGTCCTTTGGAAGCAGTCGGTGCTCCGAGGCACTGCGTCATCTCTTAACTGCATAATTTGTAAAGAATAGTGATTTATTGGCTCAGGGTTCTAGAAGCTTAGAAAACCAAAAGCATGAGAGAGGTAAAGACTTGGTCTTTCGACTCAGGGCAGAAAGTGGATGAGAAGTGAGCACATTCTGTAAGAAGAAACAGGCTGCCTCAGTGGAGAACCCTCTTTTGAGGTAACTCATCTGGTCCCAAGAGAAGTGCACGGTCAGCTTTTCATAGCCTCACCTCTCAACACCACCATCACAGCAGCAGGCAAATCCCAGCATGGGGTGACAAGAGTGCAGCAGGAACTTCCTGTGCTCCTGACACCAGACCCGTATGTGCCTTTATGTGCATGGCCATCTGCTCACTGTGATATGATAGGACTACACCTCTTGGTTCTCAAGTCTCTCCAGGACCGGGCCTCCGCCATGTCACGTCTCCAAGCCAAATCACAGTGCATGCACATCCTAGGTGCCCAGTAGAGATTGGTCAATGAATAGACAGCCCAGAAGCAGGCCAACAGAGACTATTTGGCAAACGTAGACGATAAGATAGAAGTAAAGGACAGCTTTAGGCTTCGGGATCTGTAATAATTAAACCTCTCCCTCCATTGTTTCCTAGTAGCTGAGCTTTTCCCAGGCAGAGGTCACATCCTCACAACTCTGTCCTCATCTGTCTGTAACACACGGAGGAACGGTCTCTTATTCTGACAGCAGCTGCCACTTAAGGTACGGCAAATGACCTGTTTTTAAATACAACCCCAACCTTGTAGACATTTTTATCTTAAGCATCTTTTAATGGCGTTATTTTTTAATTATGTGTATGTATTCAGGAGGGAATGTGCACATGTGTGCAGCTACCCAAGCTCTGGAGTGAGAGTTACAGGCAGCTGTATGCTACTCAGCATGTTTGCTGGGAACCAAATTTGGGCTACCTGCAAGAGTAGTTAAGTTCTCTTAACCACGGAGCCATCTCTCAGGCCCCTTACTTTTACAAAATATATATTTACTTTTATGTGTATGTAAGGCATATGGCAGTGTTAATATTGCTTCTATTTTATTTTGAAACTGTTTTTCTTAATTTATGTGTGTGTTCTTTAACTGCTCATCTTCTCTACTTGGTATTCTAATCATAAAGAGAGGTCTCTGTGATGCATCCTCCTTTTCATGGCTTATGAACTGATTTGCAGAAGTACCGTATTTATTTGAAAATACAGATGCCGGCCTGTGAGGTCAAGGTCTGAAGTCCACATTTAATTTTGAAGAGAAGAGTCCTTGCTGCAGCAAGGGTGTTGTTGCCCATTACCTTACTGTATTTCTGTTGCATGATTCACAGCTCTTTGCAACTCTGAGCACCCCTGAACATGGGGATTTGAGATGGAAAAATCACCTCTCTGTTCTTCGGGGCCAGCCTTAAATAAACCTGACTCCTTCCACTAAGAAATAACTCCTGTCTTGCCTAAACCCTCTAACAGGGGAACATGTCCTTCAGGAGCAGAAGTTTCCAACTCTGACTACTTCCAATCCCCCATCCCTAAACCATCTCTGCCCTTCAGTGCAAAGACTCCTGGGAACAGCAGCATTCTAAGCAGTTAACAGCTGAAGGCTCCCCAGGGGATTCTGTCCCATGGTGACAGTTGGCAGAAGCTCGTGCAAGAGAGAGGTCTTTCAGGAGTGTGTAGGGGGAAAGCAGGAACACAGGAGAAGGGTCGCAGCCAGCCTTAGAAGGAAGTAGACTTTCATCCCATGCTCCTCCTAGCTTCCTGGCATTTTGTGCCACAGTTAGGGCTTTGCTCATCCCCATCTCCTCCTGCAGGCCTCACAGGGGATCCCCTGGGTTTAGTTAGCCCTGCGGGGGGACCCAGAGATGAATCAGACATGGATCCTGCCCTCGAGGAACTTACTTTCTGGTGGTAAAAATGGGGCCACCAAGTAGACAGCAAAGGCAACCATAAGGGTCATGTGACTTCAGAAGAGGATAGGCCTTAAAGGAGGCTGCATTTCAACTTCACCTCTGTGTACTTTCCAGGAGACTACCTATATGTGCTGATCAGGGCTACTGTTAGTTACGATGCCAAGTCTGTGGTCTGTGTGTGTTGGGGCTAGGGGCTGCCTAGGAAAAGGGCCTAGGGAGACAATACATAGAGAATAAGGAGAGTGGAACATGGCTGCCTTGACATTTTCCCCCAGTGTTTTCCCAGACAAAAATAGGTAATAATTTAGAGTAAATGACTACAATTTGTCAACTGAGACCTAGATTTGAAAAGTGCCCTTCTGAGGGCACTTAGGCCAACTCCTGACCCTGCCTGCACTCTATGAACTTGTGATTTGGAAGATGGGGGAGTTAGTGGCACACCTTAACTTGGGCAGGGGGCTTTCTGTTCTCTTGGGTGACCAATGTCGCACTTCACTCTAGCATGCGAGATGAGAACTGGAAGAATGAACGCAATCAGAACTGTTCCCTTGAATTTGCAATGGTTTCAATGTTTAGACCTGGTCTGCCTGGGGAACCACGTGGACATATAATTGAAATATGTGAGAGGGGGGCTGGAGAGATGGCTCAGCGGTTAAGAGCACTGACTGCTCTTCCAGAGGACCTGGGTTCAATTCCCAGCACCCATATGGTAGCTCACAACCATCTGTGACTCTTACTCTAGACTATCTTCTTCTGGGCTCTGTGGGTCCTGGGCATGTTTGCACACAGACATACATTCAGGCAAAACACCCATATACATCAAATAAAATTAAAAGAAAAATAAAAGACAAGAAGGCTTGAAAAATATGCGAGGGGAGTGATATCACTGGGTGGGGAAGAGTTGATAGTGAGTTCCTTGGTAAGAACTCAAAAACAGGGTTTAAAGGGGAAAGTGGGCAATAAAAGGGGGGACCATAAAAAGTTTAGACCATTTCTTTTTTTCTTTTTGTTTTCATTTTGGAATTGCAGCTTTACTTATTTTGTGAATACATAAAAGATCTTATAAAGATTCTTCTATGGCAGGGACATCATTATAGAAATCTTAATTTTTATTTAATCCATGGTGACTTCCTACCCCCTGGGATTTTTTTTTAAAGATTTATTTTTATGGGTATGTGTGCATGAGTCTGCATATGTATATATGTGTGGGTATCCATGTGAGTCCCAAGAGTGTCAGATCTCCCTGGATCTAAAGTTACAGGCAGTTGTGAGCTGCCTGATGAGGGTACTGGGCACCAATCTCAGGTTCTCTGCAAGAACAGCAAGTGTTCTTAACCACTGAGCCATCTCTAATCCCTGGGTTTTATTTCTAAATCCCAAAATAATATTTTTTCCAGGATTCTAGCCATCCCGATGGACCAAATTTAGCTAGGAGTAACCTTAGTCTCAAAAAAGACAACTCACTGATCCACTAAAGAAAGAAGGTGACAGATAAATGAGGTCTAGTCATCCAAAGGATGAAGAGCCCAAGATTCAGGCCAGAGAAAGCGGTAGTGTGTTTTAGACAGCAAAATAAGGGAGGGACGGCAGATAGGGCGGATCAGTCAGAGTGAGGTCAGCACAGGGGCCATGGCCGGTGATCCTAAGAACCTTTGGGTGAGAAAGGAGCAGTCTCTGAAGTTTTTATATACCCAGTTCAATGGGGGGAACTTGGCCTTGGGGGTGTGGCTCTTGGCCTTGGGGGTGTGGCTCTTGGCCTTGGGGGTGTGGTTCTTGGCCTTGGGGGTGTGGCTCTTGGCCTTGTAGGTGTGGCTCTTGGTCTTGGAGGTGTGGCTCTTGCCTTGGGGGTGTGGCTCTTGGCCTTGGGGGTGTGGCTCTTGGCCTTGGAGGTGTGGCTCTTGGCCTTGGAGGTGTGGCTCTTGCATTCAAAACGAAGTCAAGTCTTCCTCTGGTCAAGTCCGGAGCAGAAATTGCTTTAATTTGGGAAGGAAGATTTGTGGAATCTCAGTTTTATGTTCAGTGTTTGCACTTGTGGGACAAGAATGATCATAGAAGATTGCAGATAATCTCAGGGTACCAGAGAGAGGAGGAAATCAGGAAGGCAAAAGGACTAATAACATTGGGAGAAATTGCCTTTAGAGGATTTCCCTCCATGCCTGCTCTTTCCCCCACTTCCCAGCTTCTGTCTGACTCCAGGAAGTTGCCTCAAAAGTCCAGTTTTCTCACATCTCTCTCAAGCCCAAGCAAAGGACTGTTTTTAACCCTCAACGTGGCAGGCTCTTTCGGACCTGACTTCTCTTGTCCCCCTAGCCACGAGCTGACTACTTTCTCTCTCCCTACAAGGTGGTTTCCTTTCTTGGCTTTCTGTTCACTTTTCTTTGCTTCTTTCTCCTTCTTGGCACTTCTCATTGCTGTCCAATTCAGGTCAGGCCTTGCTATTGTTTTCTATCTCTAAGAGCAATGCTTTTCCTAAGACGAATGTCTTATTGTATTTTTTAACAACAACAGCCAGAGGATAGGACACGAGCAGAGATTACAGTCCAAACACTTGATATCAGAAGAAACGGATAGGAGGTCCACACACACACTCACGGGAAAGGGCTGTTGCTTTCAGGGGACAAGCGTGGGTGTAGCTCCCAGGGGAGGCCTAGAGGAACTGGTGATGGCATTGCTTCGTCCCTGCGTGCTTGGGCCCAGGGGATTCCAGAGCCCGAAGGCAGGACAGCTGTGGTAAGAGTAGGCCCTGTGGGGTCTTCTTCCTGCGACAGTGCCCTGTCAGCTGACAGGCTAGCACATTCAGCTCAGTATTCCAGGAGCAACTCAAACCTCTTTCTGTCACAACCACCTTCCATGGACACAATCTCTTATGCAAACAGTCTAGAAGAACTGAAGTGACTTTTAGAATGCTCTAGGGCAAGTTGATAGGCTTGTAGTAGCCTTCTTTAGGAGTGTGGTCTGTGATAGAAGCATGCTACACTCAGTAACTTGTGTGGAAAAATGTTTAAAGACTCCAAAAATGCCCAGACAAGAAGTTGAGTTGAAATCATGGAGTTACTTCTTATTAGGACTCCCTAGGAGTCATTTTGCCTCAAAACTCTTTGGATTTCTAGGAAGAAAATGGTCTAAATGTGACTTTTACTCACCTGGGGCTTGGTCCTGCCTAGTGGCATGGGTCTTCCAGACAGACTGATGAGCACATTTGGGGGTAACTGGCCCTGCCTTCTGGGTTGGGATCATACTATCTTGTTGCCTAGATTGGTCCTACACTCTGCCCTCCCACAGAGACAGTACTATGAAAGTTCCCCACTTCTGTTTCATCTTCTCTGGGCATAGTTCAAATGTTACCTCTTCCATAGAGCCTCTCATGAATGTCCCATGGGAGTTCTGTGTTCTCACCCCTGGGCTCAATTAACCATTTGGTTGAGTGAGCTCTTAAACTTCAAAAAAGCTATATAGCATAGGCTGTGGAGTAAATGGGGGTGTGTGTGGTTGTTGAACACCCAGGTTCTAAGCTAAAAAGGTGGCACCTTTTTCTCCCTTAACAGTTAAATTCCTGCAAAGGACTTCTCACTGAGGTTGTTCTCTGTTAAAGGAAGGAAGTACACAAAAGGCTTCTGCTTGCCTTGCCTTTACAGAGGCACAGCTCCGGGCTGCAGATGGAGTGTTGGAGTCATGGTGGCCAAGCTCCCTGACCGCACAGCCGTCTTTTCCTCCTTCCAGCTGACCTGATGAAAGGCCATACTGGAATCAGTTCTGTCCTGAGAGTCACTGGGAGCTGTGGAGGCAGGAGTAGGGGAGGAAAGACAAATGTCAA